AGAGCTCCCCTAGTACATCTAGCAGACCAAAGGAAACCGTGGAATTAGAACTGGCTTCAGAAAAGGAAATCCAGGGTGTTACTAAAAAGGCAAACAGATTGAATTAGGAATAATTGTTTTCATTTTAATATATTTGAAGAACAAATCAGAGGAAATAATTCAGTGTCTTTATGTGGAATTGGTTTGTGTGAATCCTTCAGCATAAAGAATAGTCTGATGAAGATGCAGGATGAACAGAAGGGGAGGCCTTACCATTAAAATCCTCTGCTCATTCAAGAGGTATCATAGCAGGAATCTGGGTATAGAAAGGCTGAAAGAGGGGCACCGGAGTCGCTCAGTCGTTTAAATGTCCACCTTTGGCTCAGGTCATGATCTCAGGTTCTGGGATCGAGCCCCACATCAGCATGGGGCTCCCTGCTCAGCGGGGAGTCTGCTTCTCCCTCTCTTTCTGCCCCCCCACTTGTGTGCATGCTCTCTCTCAAATAAGTAAGTAAAATCTTAAAAAAAAAAAAAAGGCCAAAAGAACAGGCTCCATTTGAACAGCAGAATAAGCAATGCCTAACCTGGAGGATGAAAAACTCTGGGAGGAGCAAGAGAGGAAGATCAACAAGTGTGCATGGAACGGTTATGAGGGAGTGGGAGTCCTGGCAGAGGATGGAGCCCAGGATTCTGTAGTAGACTCCATCACATCTGCAGGAAGAAACTTAAAGCCCTAAATACTGAACACATTACAGTACTCCCATATATAATTAAAATAAAAATGAAGCCACAAAAATAAGTGTAAAGCAGACCAACAGAGTGCTGTTTTTCCATAATGACTACTTCGGTTTTTCTTTTGAAAGCAGAACATCCAAGTGAAGAGCTTGGGGCTGGGATGGAAGTTTGGGAATAGGTTAGACTAATGAGGACCACAAGGAGTAGGTGTGGACACGGAGGAGGAAACAGCAGGTGTGTGTTCTGCGGGAGTACCTTTGTTTAACTGTAGGAGGCAAAGGAACCAAGGAGATGGAGA